TAGAGCATAGGGAGATGGATCTTTTGCAAATAAGATGGAGTGGAAAGGAAGCAAACTTCAAAAGAATTTAAGACCTGTTATGCAACTCTACATGATGAATATTATCATCATATAAACAAATATACAGTAACAAAAATAAAAATCAATAAAATAAAACAAAGTATGAAGAAAAAAGGAATTCACATTTTGACAAAAATAATAGTATGCTAACTGAAATATCAAAATGAAATAAATATCTCAAGGTTTTATTTTTAGATCTTTTTTTTACACAAAAGGGCATGTGTGGCCTTGATACGGAGGAAGTCAGGATTCCGCAGGATGTATAGATCTTACTATAAACCTGGGTGTGGTGGTGCACACCTGTAATCCCAGCACTCAGGAGTCTGAGGGAAGAAGATCGCTTCAAGTTCAAGGCCAGCCTTGGTTACATAGTAAGTTTGAGGTCACCCTGTCTAAAAAGACCAAAAGAAAAAACAATTAAAAATAAATCTTACTTTGATTATTATATATATGAAATATATATAATACAGTCATATTCTATATTGCATAATCTTTGCAGAGCTTTGCAAACTCCTAGTCAATATTTAGAAATATGTTATATGAGTTTCCTAAAATGCAGACTAATAATGTATATTGCAGACACACCATAATAACTATTACAATTTATTGATTTTTATTCAAGAGGACTAAAATATTTACTATTTTCAAAACTGCATATCTTTAAAATGAATTTGGTGAAGTGATCTAAGTAATTATTGAATTACCTGCACTCATGGACTGGGGATTTAGCTCAGTGGCACAGTGCCTGCCTGGCAGACGCAAGGTCGTGAGTTTGATTCCCGGTACCAGAAATAAACTCAAAAAAAGAGCAAATCACCTCTACTCCCTTAGTACTTTACTAGTGATAATATAAGTGTATAGTGATATATATTTATCTACATCCACACAATGAGATGTTATATGTGCAACTGATCATATATATTTGAGTTTTGCTAAATAATAATGCTCAATTTGCCATAGTCAATAATTTACATTTTATTTAATAGCTTATATATTTGATGATAATTCATTAGCTAATGTAGTAATGCCCTGAGATAACAGTATAATACATGAAAGAAATAAGCTCACCTATTGGAAGGTGTGATGTCTTCATATCCAAACTGAATTCAAACCTAATCCAAAGCTTCTAGATGGTCCACAATTGCTTCTGTTCGTAGATGTGAGGAAAAACCTCATGAAACATTGTCAAGTATTATCGGGGAAACATTCCTTGTTAGAGTCCAGATAAGAATGGCCCCCAAAGGCTCATATGTTCAAAGCCGGTATATTTGGAAAGTGACTTAATCATGGGGAGCTAACCTCATCGATGAACTAATTTATTGATAAATTCATACCTGAATGTGCTTTCAAAAGGTGGGACCAGGTTGGAGGGGATAGATCACTGAGGATATAACCTAGAAGGGGATATTCTTATCTGAGCCTCCTCTTCTTTCTTTCTAACTGTCTGCTTCCTGGCTGCTACAAGGCGGGCAGCCATCATCTACATGTTCTTACCTATGACGTCAGCCCAGAGGCAGCCAGTCACGGAATGAAATCCCCGAAACATGAGGCGGAGTAAACCTCTTCTCCTTTAAGACGTACGTCTGTTAGGTGTTTTTGCCAAGCAACAGAAAACAACTAAAAGAGTCCCTTAGTTTTCTCTTTGTTTTATAGCTGTGTTCGTAGTTACTTGATTTTTAATTTCCAAAAACTCCATAAGAAATTAAATGCTGCTTCTTTGCCATCATACTAAATGAACCACGAAGTGTTCAGCTCTTAGCAGTCTACGTGAAATGCCGTGGTAATGAACTAGGATCTATGGGTTTTGTGAAAAGTGGCTAAGAAATTAGGAACAATGGAGAGTGATACGTGTGTATTCCTGCGCTCGAGAAGCTGACAGATGAACTAGCGGCCTTTGGCGCTGGGACCTCCGTATCTTAATGTATTTGCTAATGACGAGGAGGAAAACAGAAATCTGGAGATAGTGAAATATTCTGACAACACTAAACTATTTTGGTTAGTTAAAAACTAATGAGGTTTGGGAGATGCTCCAGATGGCTGTAATCATACTAGAGAACTGGGCAGCCCCATGGCAGATGAAATTCATATTTAATAAATGTACAGAAAGGAATATTGACATTATCATCTAAACTCTCTGTGTATACCATGAGGTTTTGATCTTGCAAGTTCTCTGAGGAGCTAGACATTGACTGCTACCATGGCTGCTTCAATAAAGGTGTCCCACAACGCATATCTTTTTGAAAATGGCTGAGTAGATGCTTGGGTGTGTTTAGAAAGAGCTTTGAAATTGTAAATAATAGAGAAAGCTGTCTTGAGACAGATAAAGAGTGTTTCGCCCATTGTAGTATGATTGGTTTTGTTCTGGGTAACAAGTGAGAAATGACAGAGACAAGGAAGTCAGAGAAGCTTGTGCAGAGAGTGACTTACGCCTAAGTAAGAGAGAAAGACAGGCTGACAACCGGAGAACACATTTACATACACTCCAGCCCTTTAGTACCATAAGCTTTTCAATTGTGAGCAAGATTTGAACCATAGAGAATTTGATCTCATTAACAGGGCAGCAACTGTGGGGACTTGACAATTAATATGTGAGACTGAATATTTGGCACTTGAAAGTGAAAAATTCAAGGTTCAGCTTTGTTCAGGTAGTGGGCTGTGGGTGCTAATTTCTGAATGTGTGTATTATAGTCTCTTTGTCGTGTTCATACCTAAGAAAAGGAGTGATTATATTAGCATATCAAAGACTGTTTTCCAATCACTGCGCTAGTATAATATACTGAAATGGCAGGGAAAGTGTTAAATGCGTGTGCAGAGATCACCTCTGAGAATGTTAATAATAAACTGTCCACCAAACATACATATGTTTTAGTTTGTTAGGAATTTGTAAGAAAAAGAAATGAAGCATATAGCTTGTTTATAACATTTCCAATTAAAATGGAGTAAAATATTTAAGAAGTTCGATGTTCATTGATAAAGTTGACAGCTATTTAAAAACTGAATGAAACCACTTACTGTGTTTAAGGAAGGAAACATGAAGATGTGTACACTGTAGTTTAAATTTTGAACGTCCACAAGGACCCATGGTTTGCAGATTTGGTCACTAGCCTGTGGCATTACTGGAATGTCATCGAGGGTTTAGTAGGTGCAGTCAGTGGAAAGAAGCCAGGTAATTGTGACGCAGCTGCGGAAGGGCCTTGAGACTTCAAGCCTTCCTCTCTGTCTTTTTGATCCAGGTGCGGCGAGATGAACAGGCTTCTTTTCCGAGAATTCCTACGGCATGTTGCACGAACCCAATGCAGAAGGGCCAAGTAGATGAAACCTTTGAGACCATGATCCAAAGTACACGTTTTCCCATTAACGTGTTTACCTCAGGTATTTTTGTCACATTAACAGAAAAGTGACTAACACGATTTACACATTGTTTTCTCAAGGAATTTTAAACATTTGCTATATTAAAGATAAGTGAAAATATTAGGGCACATGTTCCATTATGTATAACTGAATAATTCTTAATCATCTTGTCACACTGACATGCTTTACATGAAGTAAAAATAGTTAGTCCTAAAAATATGATCAACAGGTATCTAAACATGCTACACATTTAATAACCATTAAGTATAATTTAATAGACTACACTGAAATATAAATATAACAGAAGTTACCTATGTTTATATCATGTATTTTTTAGAGTATGTATTTAATATATATATATCTGTAAAATACAACTATATAAGTATATGACAATTGAGTACAATACTATGTATACTATATAAGTATATACTATATAATACATGAACAATACTACACTGTATTATATTGTATACTATATACTTTACTATCTATACTGTGATATATTATACTGTATACTATATAATACATGCACAGCAGTGTATTATATCACTGTCACTAATCTCTATTTGTTTACTATGAAACTCCTTTTGATACATGATTCTTGAATGAAGAAGAATCAGCTATACTTTCTATTTTCCCCTGGAGCAACACTTATAATATTTCGGTACTAGAACAGTTTTTTTCTTGATGAAAGCTTTATGTTTGTAAAAACAATAATTCACAGTACCTTCTTCCTAATACCTTTCTGTAACAGAAGTACATGTGAATTAAGATGATCCATGAAGTGTTTTCTCTACATTAAATATTTTAATGAAAAGCTAAAGATTTCTGATGTAAAAGTCAGAGTACAGCCATGCTACATATCTCTGTGCATTATTTCGATATATTTTTCTTAGATTTTTAAAGAAAATTATAAAGACATTTCTTTGCCTCTTTATAACAGGAAAACTATTTAAGTGTAGGTTTAAAAATTTGTAATGGTTTCCCATCGCTAGGAAGCCGAAACCAGCTGGGAGGCCGAGCGAACCCACAACTCCTGAAACAGTAGCAGTGAGAAACGAGCGCCGCAGCAAGGAGGAAGGAAGCCCCGTTCAGTAGCGATCCTTGTCAGAAGCGCGTCCCTCTGAACGCCACATGTTGTCTCAAGACGGTGAACAGACTGTTTCCACGGGGATAGCCGAGTCAGTCACAGCGTACTGAAGGAGGGCACCTGAAGCTGTGATTGAATCCTTCTGCATGCATCTGCACTGCCCTCTGGCTCTCAGGAATCCTAGAATTCAACTCTGCCTAGCAATAAATCTCTCTCAGTGCACTACCTTGCAAATGCACCATTAAATCATGCTGTTTCCCTTTTACTGAGGAGTCTGTAAAAGTGAAAATGAGTAATATTGGTCACAGCAGTTACAAACAAAAGTGGTTCCACGTGTGTTTGAGGAGGCAGATCCCTTTCCTGCAAGGGCAGCCGCGGAGTAGGAAAGCTCACCCTAGCATCAAGCAGATCCCCTGCTTCTCCAAGAAAGTTCTGCTTGTGTGAAACCCTCCTGATGAAGGATTGGATTGCAAGGATGATGTAGTTTGTAGTGGTTATTTGTTAATAGTAAACATAAAGACAACGAAAAAGAAATAAAGAATAAAAACACTTGCAAAATATTTTTTTCTAAGGAAGACGTTCAAGGCCAGGAATAAAATAATCACAGTAGCATCGGTTTGGGAAGATTTACTCAACTCTTTCATGCTAAACTCATGTAGATTCATGAGCACACACTCAAAAGCAAACCAACTGCTTCAAATATTTTTCCCTTTTTCCCTTTTCGGAATAATTTTAATTTTCCCAAGAGCCCTGGATTCAGAGTCATGAATAAGAAAATGACTGCAGATCCACTCAGTGGATTAATTTTACTCTTATATTTCCTGCCTTCAAACTACGCAAAAAATCCTAGTTCAAACTATGCAGAAAATTCTCGCACATTACAAAATTGTAGCATTTTGCATGTAAATGAATGGGTAAGTAAAATTTCTACTAGTGAATTCATAACTAGAGAAATAAGATGGGCAAAACTGAAAGCAAAAGAACATTTGCGCTTGTAGACTGATTTATTCTGAACATTTAAAAGTGTTGCCTCTTTGGGAAGAGTCCCTAGCAATGTGTTTGTTGTTACATCATACATCCCAATTAATGGAAAGAGTTAATTATCCTCCATGAGATAGTTTCCCTCTCTTCACTTTTCTCGACTATGCATGGTCTCTAGCATGTACTGAAGCACAAGATATATTCTTAATAAACATGTGCATGAGAACATTAAGGAATAAATGGATGATTTTATCAAAATATACGTGGGCAGAACATCCAACAGCTATGACATGAAGGAAAGAACAACAGAGGAATTCAGAAGGCATAACAGTGAGAAATGGAGGCCCTGTCCCACCATGATGTTGAAAATGCAAGACTTCAAGAAATCTATGTTACGGTATCCCATCAATATATGTACATATACACACACATATGTAGTGATAAAAATACCATTAATGTTTCAACTTTAAAATTTATTACAGTAAAAGACACACTGTCATCAATCACCCATACAATGCTTTTGCTTATTTTGAACACACTTAGGAGGTCATTCTTGCCACTTTCTTAAGCAGTTCTGGAAGTGCTCTTTCATGACTATCTTTAGTTGCAATGTCACAGCTGCCTCTGTGTCCTGATCAATCTCAAACCTTTACCTCTCATGGTCATTTTGACTTTGGAGAAGAACCAGAGCCTCACAGTACAAAATTCAGCAGATAAAGTGGGTGATGAAAAACCACAATATTTTAGTTTTACAGATATTGCCAGAAATGGTTGATTGATGAGCTTTGATAAAAAAAATACAGAGAATGATTAAATTAAAAACAATATTTCAGTAAAAGACACATCGCCATTTATCACCTTCAAAACACTTCCTCTTGCTCAGAATATACTCATCCAACTGTTCTGGCAATGTGGTTTTTTTACTATATTTAAAAATATCTATTACACATTGTAAATAGATAGGTGGACAGATAAATAGATATACAGATTCACAGATTGGTAGGCAGAAAACTGCCATCCACTTGAATTTTTCTAGGAAATAATACAGAAATTCCTTTAAAATTCCTGTTCCTGAAGAGTAAAGGATAGTATTCTTAGATGATGTAATACTGTAGTCTGAAATGAAAATTCCTTATCTCTTGATTATTTCCATGTTGTCATTTTGGTTCACCACCAAAATGTATGAACAATAATGTGACTCACCATCTTCTAATATTAAATGACCTATATCCATCCTTGGCCATCTTTCCCTTTTCCATTGAAAAAAGAATCTTTTTCACTCTCAACTTTGTGTAAATGCTTTATCAATCCTTATATGTGTCCCTCATTTCTTTTTCATTAATGAATCCTTTATCACCACTGAAGGAATCTACTTCCTTTTGCTAAAAATTGAAGTCTTCCATTTACTATCTATCCTTGCTTTCAATTTTCTTTTCTGATTGTCAATACTGGGAATTGAACACAGGGTCTTTTCAATGTTTTTGTCTCACAATAACTCCACCAAAAGTGCAAATACTGTCTCAGCCATTGGACGGGTGAAGGTATGATTAAATTATTCTAACTGCCTAACAAGCACTACCCTTCTCAGCTTCTGTCTCTCTGCTGGAGAATTTCTTTCCATTGGAAATGTTTACTTTATTGTTCACCCTCAAAATCTATATTTATATTGTTGCCAGATCTATTTCTAACATAATGACACATCTATAGAGTCAGCTGAAAATAAGATGTCAATAAATGTTATTGCGTAACTAAACAAGCTTCAATTATTTCCCCAATATAGGTGATGTAGCATAAATTCATATAATAGGATGGTCAGTAGCTAACATCTATTTATGTCATTACTATAGGTAAATCCAGAAAGAAGAGATTTTGAAAACTGGCAGTCTAAAACTTGAAATTTAATTTCCTAATGTTCTAGCAACCTTGGATGATACTGTAATATTAGACTGTTTGCACGCTGTAAAATGAAGATTGCAATGCTAACTCTATAATATGAGTAATAAAACAAGGTTAAGTGTTAAAGTCATGAAATATATTAGGGTCACACATGCTAGTAGGCCTTTTAAGATGGCTTTTCTTTTTTACTGACAAGATACTTAAGGATAAGAACAATTACCTAATCAAAATAGTGCTCTACAAAATCAGATTTAATGGCCAAAGGATCGGATTTTGGACCTGTCACAAGTTTTGTTGAGAAATTCAGTTCATTTATCAGCATGGATGCTATCTCACATGCAAAACAATTTTGGCTTTTTAGAAGTGTGGTCAGAATTAAATGAGATACCATATATATAAACACCAATTTGTTGCTGTTCTTATAAAGGAGAAAGTAAATCATATTAAGATTTTCCCCAGGGCATAGTGTAAAACTCTCACAGAGATTTATCAGTTAGTGATTACCAGTGTCAGTTTGTTTTTCCATTATTAAAACTAATTTTTACATCTGTTTACTGGCCTGTTTTAGGAATGGAAATAACTACCCATCAAGATGAGTAGGCTTAGTTATTTTATTGTTTTCTGATTTATTATTTTACAAACTGGCAAAGCATTTACCCTTCCTTTCTCAAAAAACATTCAATAAACTTCAGCTCCTCAAATATTAGTACTTGATTTCTCTTCTTTGCAGCAATCAAATGTTGATAGAAGTGAATCTGTAGGTAAAAATTTTCAAAAACTTAGGAAACATCAAGAGAATCTTCTAGATCCAATTTCCAAATGCATAGCAACATATATGCACAGCCGTATTAAAAATCAAACACAGCATTTCATTTCAGCCATGCTGTTATAGCCCAAGTGGTTGGGCTTACTGAATTCTGCTGTGATACTAGAGAAAACTGAATTACTATTCAGTACTCATTTCTCCAAATATTTAATTTGCCAGAGATTGTTGAAAGGGTTTCATTACAGGTATTTAGGCAGGATTAGGAAATCCACTGGTGCTGATTGTGTCCACACAGATATGTGATATTTGGCTCCCTATAGCTACATGCTTTGAGATTGGAGTGTGAGGCTCCACGGTCCTGAGCTGTCTTTGCTCTGTAATTGCATGGGCTGACTTCACTGGGCTGAATGTGTATTGCAATTGAACTAAAATGGGTCTGTTTTTCACCAAGCACACTTTGGTCATGCATCAATGCATTTTTAATTAAAAGTGGTGACAGGTACAATGGTGAGGCATGCCAAATAACTTGCTCAAACATTCTATATCCTCAAAGATAGGCAATCAGAATTTTGTGTCTGTTAGTCAGGAAGAGAATATTTCCATTAAATATTAGAATATTAAATATCTCAAAACTTAGTAATACATCAATACAGTAATACAGCATTTCTGTTGTAAGTACTGTACCATGGATACTTCATGCGGCTTCATCAAAATAAAATATTTATTGTCGACAGAACTAAAATTGGTGACAAACAATCTGATAGGCATCCTCATTATATTTTTACTGCTCACAATGAAGACCTGAGAAATTAGTAGTAGGGTGAAAAGCAGAGTCAATTAGAAAATGACTGTTTCAGTAGAACAGAAATCACAGCAGAAACTTAGACACAGCAGAATAAGGAGACACTTGAGAACATCCACATGAAGACCCAGGAACAACACTACAATATTGCTATGTTGATACAGAGATCTTACAGAAAGGCTTAGCTCTCCAAATAGTTTCTAATTGAAAGTGAAACCTAGGTGAACAGCAAAGAATGCAAATTTTTGAATCATTTGCATTTACATATATTGAAGTGAAGTTCTCCAAAACCAATGCCATAAATGTGATTTGGCGATTTTATTTTTATTTTGTTGTTTTTTGAGGTGATTTGGCAATTTTAGTTTGACTAAAAATACTAAAATGAGTGATTTAATCACAGATGAAATAAATTTAAGAAAATGGACTCTTTAATGGTCATGTGATTTGAGAATTGATGTTCATATATCAGTATTTTACATTTTAAAAAAATTAACTCACACTTAAGCAAATTATAGTGTCAAATAGGGTGGAGTGAAGCATTGACTGAAGTCACTCAGGTCTGTTTTGTATAATTTGATATTATTTCAGCCTGCAGAATTATAGAAAAGAACTTCAAATCACATATAACAGCTGGGTTTCTAGGATATACACACAAATATCCATAAAAAATATACATAACCCAATTTAAAAATTAACAAAGCACTTGAGTAGATATTTCTACAACGATATTGAAATTTTCAATATACACATGCCCGAAAACACTATGATGAAATATAACAAAGTCCAAATTACAATTTGGAGGAGGTATATCTTCATATTGACTTACAAGTTTGATCCTAGAATAGTTAGTGAAAATAACAGAAAATAGCACGTATGGGTGAAGATGTGGAGAAATAAGCACCCAGGACACTGCTGGTGGTAATGGGAAATTGTCGAGCCCCTATGGAAAACTGATGAATCTTCAGACTGTTAAACAGAATCAGCACATGATCCTATAGTTTCACCCATAGGTAATTACACCAAAACTTTCAACAGATTCTTAAACATGGGCACTCCTGTTGGGAGCAGAACTACTGATAAGAGTAAACGGGGGAATAGCCCAAATGCTCATAACTGGATGAATACATAAATAAAGTGTGGCATAAACATTGGATGAAATGAACATTATTGAGTGACAAAAATGCTGGAACATGTTACAGTGTGCATGAAATTGCAGAACACTTTGTTAAGGAACAAAAAATAAAATGTACACAGTATCATAACATTTATATGAAATTTGACAATTGATAAATCCATACCTATTGTAAGAGAAATCACATTTGTTATTTCCAGGGTCTTGAAGGTGGAAAGAATGGGAGAAATTGCTTAATGGGTAAAGGATTTTTATTTCAAAGTTATGGAAAAACTTTGGAACTGGATACAGATTGTGGATGAAACACACTGTGAATGTACTAAAATGCCATATAGTTGTTTGCTACACAAATTTTAATTTTGTGTTATTTCATGTCAGTCAATCAAAAACACTCTAGAAAGTGGACTGATGTTCATGTATGTTCATAAATATTATTTCTTCAATAATACAACCAATATAACATTTTCTAAACTGTAAAAGAGAACAGACAATAATTGCTAACTTTATTATTCCTCTTGTAGCAGTATTGTGTGAGATATACAGTAACAAAAAAGTATCTGTGCCTTTTTAATGTATGTTACACTGTCTCAGAAAAAATTCTAAGTCCAAAAGAAACTGGTAAAACAAACATGTAAATTTAGTTTGTAATCTTATAATCCCAATAAAAATTAATGGCATGTTGACTTGCTTTCTTAGAATGAATTTTCACATGTTACTGATTCAAAGAAGTATATTAGATGATACCTTTTACTTTTGTGCTCTTCGGTTTTCAGATATAGTCAATAAATTTCATGAAAAAATTTTATTTCATGCTTCTTTTTAATTTCAGCTGTTTAAAAATATAATTTGTGAACAGGAATTGTGTGTGTCTAACTAGTACAGCTTGATGTCTTCATATAAATATCTACTGTTCAATGATCAACACACAGCAAGCTAATTAACATATCCAGGGCTTCAGGCTTGACTGAACACAGAGGTCCATGTACTTTGTTGAAATAATGCAGAGCCTTTGATGACTTTCTGTCACTATTTCATGTGTGTAAAATTGGTGCTATACTCACCTTATAGGCAAAGAGGAAAAACTTAACCATTATCCTAAAAGAAAGTTATTAAATATTTGTCAGCTTAATTACTATTTTCCTCAATGAGTTATTCTTGAATTGCTAATAGATTCCAAAGAATTGCAGATACAATGACAGCTTAATAAGAACAACCAAAAATTGAAATGGACAGGTGCAGTTTACAAATGAATGCTAAGTGAAAGGAGATGATTTCCCTATCACGTTAACTGTTGAGACATATTAGCAAGTTAAAGATGTCTTTAAATAATAAAACAAACACATAGGAAAAGTTTCTGTAAAAGTGTAAACCAAGTATGCCTTCCAAAGATTATGAAATGTACGTAAAACAATTTTTCTTCTGAAATTACTATGACAGTTCGGAAGTCGATATGCCTTTTAAAGCTACAGTAATTCGACTCTATTTCTGAAAAATATATCAACTGGTATTATAGAAAATATAGGCATGTTATATTATTATTGTCAAATTCTGAGTTCTCTTAATTCCTATAGGTTATAATTACTGACATCCTGGATTTCTTTGTACAAGTAACTTGCTATCTTCTAGTTCTGTACAGTTGTGCTTTTTAAATAAGCCTCTTGTAGAAGAAAAACTATGTGCTATCTCTGTATGCTTTGCAACATTCCAGCTTTAATTAAAATGTAATGCTGGTCAAAAGACCTGAAGGGAATTTTCATTTAGCCTCCTATGTAGTCTGGAACACTAGGTCATATTTACTAAACAAAGGTAAATGTCCTACAGGTAAATGTTCCAACATCCTATTTAGTGACTGAACCAAACTTTCAGGTAAATTAAGACCCAGCAGAAGAGCAGCATTGCATATTTATGCTCTGACTTCTTCATGTGTTTGGTAGCTGTGCACTGTTGTTAAGTAGCTTCTTAACACTACTGATTTTTCAGAAATCCTGAGAATAAATCAAACTAATATGTTGTCACCTACAAAATCCCTTCCACTTTTGCTCACACAATAGAACTTTAAATTTATTATAATTCCTTGTTTACTTTTACAACTACAAATGATGTCTAGGATAAGGTACAACACTGACTTACTTAGATTAAATCTCTTCTATCTAAAATAGTGCTGACATATGAGATAGGTATTCAAGAACTCTTTGTTCAATAAAAGAAAGCGGATCCAAAGAGCAAAATTAAACAAATTGTGAGTTTTTCCCCTTTACTTTTCTTTGGATTTCTTAGGTAAGAGAAACCATGAAATATATAATCATTTCTGATTTATTTCACTTTGCATTATGATCCCAATGTGCAATCATTTCATATGAAAGACTCAACTTTATCCTTTGTTAAGGCAGACTGCTATTCCACTGTATGTATACACCAAATTGTATTTATCCACTTATCTGCTAATAGATGTATAAGTTGCTACCAAAATAGACCTACTATGAGTCATGGTGCTACAAATGTGGATATGTGTGTCTCACTGTAATATATGTTTCACTCTTTTAAGATGATATGTAAAAAGGGTAAGGCTGGTGTGAATGAAATTTTTATTTTTGGTCTTTTTAAACAATCTTCATACTGAATTTTATAGTGGTTGAAATGTTTCTTTGCCCTACAGCCTCCCTAGCATTTGTTTTTTGAGTTGTTGATGATAGTCATTCTTTCCAGAGTAAGATGGAATCTCAGTGTTGTTTTGGTTTGAATTTTTCTAAAGGCTAAGAGGCTGAACATTTTTTTATGTTCTTATAGTCCACTTCTTCTTCTTCATATGAGAAGTGTCTGTTCATTTCAACTGCCTATTCTCAACTGGATCTTTTTATACTGGGAAGCCTAATTTTTTGTATTCTTTATATATTCTATATATTTGTCCTTTGTGTGAGGAATAGGTGACCAATTCTTTCTTAATCTGTAGGTTATCTGTTCATTCCAATGGTCATTTCCTTTGCTGCCTTTTTACTTTTTTAAATCTGATATAATTTCATTTGTTGATTCTTGCTGCTATTTCTCATGCAATTGGGACTTTTCATTTAGAAAGTAGAGTTCTATTCCTATGACTTGGAGAGTTTTACCTATTTTATCTTCCATCAGATCAACTGTTTCTGTCTTAAGATCTAGGTCCTCAGTGTGTTTAGATTTTATTTCAGTAAAATGTGGGGAACAAGGGTTCATACGTAAGCTTTATGGCATAAACGGGTGCCTTAGTTGCCATTCTCATTGCTGACACAAAATACCCAAAATATCCAACACCCAAAGTCCAAGAAGGAAAGGTTTATTGTAACTCACAGTTTTTACACCTTGAGGGGCTTCTAGGTAGGGTGGCATGGCAGAGTGGCTCCCCAGGGGAGAAATAGTTTATGGCAAAGCCAGGCAGGCAGAAGGCAACAAACAGCAAAGTGGCAAAGAAGCAAGGAAGCAGCGGGCAATGACACACAGCTTCCCTTTTACCATCCATTATACCCTTAGGGTGGGCAGCCCTCACACCCAGAGTGGGCTTTCCCATTACCCACATCCAAAACCAAGCCAAACCCATCAGTGGACCACGTTAGCAATCTCACACTCTTGATGTTAGCATCACACCCTCAATCCCAGCGTCACTCACTGTGGACCCAGCCACCTCTGAAAAGGCCCATCTGTGACTGAATGTGGCTTTGGGGGGACATCTAGACACAAACTATCATACCAGGTACCCCAGAAATTTTTGCTAAAGAGGCTATCTTTTCTCAGGTGTCTATTTTTGTCCTCTTTGTCAAAGATCAGGTGGCTAAATGTGCCTAGAGTTGCTACTGCGTCTTCTATTCTGTCCATTGATCCATTAATAAGACCTTTTTGTCATTATGTCTCTGTCATACGATTTGAAATCTAGGACTGTGTTGTCTCCTGCATTTGTTGCTCATTGTTCTTGCTGTTCTGGGTGTCTTCTTGGTTCTTGTGCAAATTTTAGAAAATTGTTTTCTAGTTCTGTGATATATGTTGTTGGTATTTTGATTCTCATTGCATTCAATCTCTACCAGATTTGGTAGTATGGTCATTTTAAATATATTGATTCTGCATAACCAGGGAGGGTGGGCGCATTTCCATTTTCTGATATGCTTTTTGATCTCCTTTCTCAGAGAACTGTCGTCTTCACTGCAGAGATGTTTCACTGCATAGATTAAGCTAATTCCTAAACTATTTGAAGCGATTGTGAAGTGACTGCTTTCCTAATTTCTTTTTGGTAAATCCCTTTTTGGTGTACGTGAATACTATTTGTTTTGTGTGTGGACTTTGTAGTCTGCTACTTTGATGCATTTATTAGCTCCAAGGGTCTTTTGGTGGTGTTATTTTAATCTTCTATGTAAAGGATCAGGTCATCTCTGAATAGAGATAGTTTCACTTTTTCCTTTTCCATTCAAATCATTTGCTTTCTTTCCTTTGCTTGACTGCAATGCCTAAAGTGTCAAGTATCACACTGGATGTGAAGTCTTAACAATGGACACCTCTGCCTTATTCTTGATATTATAAATAAAGCTTTCCCCATTTGATATAATGTGTGTTTTTATCATTCTGAAATAAGGTTAACTTAGGGTCATTACAATAGTTCTAGTCTATCTGTAACTGTCATGTGTGCTTGGGCTTGTTTGTGTTTTGGTGCAAGGAAGGTTACAACCCTCTTCAACCTACTAAACAGAATATTGTAGTCTCCTTAGTGCCCCTCCTTCTGGGGGCTTGATTCCCAACACTACATAGAGAGGAGAGAATGAACCACAGAAATGGCACAAAGACAAAGCAGATATTTGCATGTGGTAAAAACTAATCATACCAACAAATATGCCATTGCTGGCAATAAAAAAGAAATCAACAGCAATAACCCTGTCAAAGACAAACTGGGTATTAACATAAGAAAAGAACCTGTGACAGCTACCACTATACCACCATAACAATAAAAGCGATTTACCCAAACAGATGTATGGATTAAAAATGTGGTATTTATATACTATGGAGTATTACTCTGCCATGGAAAGGATAGAACTGAGTCATTTGTAGGAAAATGGATGCACCCTGAGACAATAATATTAAGTGAAATAAATCAGATGCACAAGCTTAAATATCACATTCTCTTTTATGGGAAACAGTAAAAACAAAGAACAAAATACAAGATAGGTAATAGGAAGTAGAAAGATAGATCAAGTGATGGAGGGTAGGGGAAGACAAGGGGTCTTCTCAGGCCCATAAGGGGAGAGGAAGGTGAGAAATTTTCCGACAAAGGGAGGTCTATACTCTGCACAGGCAGCCGGCAAAAGCCACGCCAAAGAGGGGTTTCCGATGACTCAGGGAAGGACAAAGGATACAATGGCCAAGGCCAGGGCTCCAGAGGCCACAAAGATCTCATCAGATTGGCAGGATTTATTTGCCTAGATATAAGACATTCATATCTCTCTAAAAAATGTCTTTTTTCTGCTTAAAGTTGCAATTAATAATGTTTACCCTGATTTCCTATAAGCCCATTTCTAAGTTAAAATTTCTGCTTGTAACACCAAAGGTTGATCTCAAGGGCTGAGATACAGTCATTTTTGTGTATGAAGACTTCTAGATAAGAGTTCTGATGGCATCCCCCCCCGGGTCCCTCCCTGGTTCATTTGCTGGGGGGCTGTTTGCTCTCACTTTAAAATAATAAATGCTGATTTCTTCTTTCACTGCACAATAAATACTTTTTCTCAGTCCTCTTTTGACTCTCTATCTCATAATCCTTTTGTGGGTT